CTTTACATCGTTGCGACTCCAGTCAAAGACAAGTGAACAGGAGCGTTAAATGTACTGTGACACCGGTGGAGAAAGGATGTCAGTCTCCTGTGAATTAGGCTTTCGCCCTGGTAGTAATGACGCCCTCCACTTACTCTTCAAACCTTCGATACATTGATACCTAATCTGCTTCCAGTCTGACATGTCCTTTAACGTCTACTCCTAATAAAGCTAGCCTTACAATTCCCGAGTTCGGCCATTGGGACTTGGAATGCAGGCTGTCGAAACAGGAGCAGCATCGAGTTTCCATCGAATAAAGAAAAATAAGAACGACAGGATACCTCTCAGTTAAATTCCTCAAAACGAGTCATCGACACAAGAAAAAGAGCAAAGCTATTTTTTTGCTGAAACGCAGAAAAAGGACTTCTTATCGGAATTGGGCCACTGCACAAAGCACAATGCGTCAAACAACAGCAATGAAAGGCAGCATTGCGTACTTGGCAGGTGTAAATTCCTAGAATAAGGTAGATTTGTTCAAGAAAAAGAGGTGTTCTTTTTTCAGGTAGAAAAGTTGAAATACGGTCTGCAATGAAATGGGCAATACAACTGAAAGGCTAACGGCTCCCCGTTCGGCACTCTGGACTCCTCTAGGGGACCTTATCAACCACATCTACTACCAACAAGAGAAAGGAGAAATCTTTGCCGGCTGGCTAAACCGGTGGTGGGGTCATGTGCTCAACCGTGGACTCGGTAAAGACTATAAGGCAATGTAGAGCCTGTATTTCACACATCCAAAGGATCTCAAGAATCCGGTCTTGTGGACTTATCTAGTAACCCATATCGCAGTCACGATACTGGATCCCACCAACCTGCCAAACATGTTCACTTATTTCTTTAAAATTCTTAATGTCGGGACTTCACATTCTCCTGCCGATGACAGACAGGACCGGACAATTGTTCTACGAACAAAACTGCGTTTGTAATTTTAAAAGTACATATGTTGATTAACTACAGATGCAAATAATAAGAGCCACAGTCGCCTCCCTAGATTGCTTCAGGGTGGACAGACTTGTGTAATCCCTGTTAACAGAAAGGAGGAATGCCATTTGTGCTGGAATGCATCAACAGTGGTGAAAATGCTAAATGTAGCGAACAGAAAATGAAGATTAACAGAAAGCAAAAAATGAAGGCAAAGGTTGGGGAAATACCACAAGTCATGGGGCAATTCCGCCCCATTCTACGCGTGTTGAGAGCCTCACGAGCGAATTAACAACGTGTGATATGGTTACTTGCTACACGATTGCCATCGAAAGCCCGAGTTTAGACTTTGTCCATTGATCGACCCTTGAGGTTGGACAGAAAGTTAAAAACATTAGCAAATGCAAGTGTTTTGGCCACAATGGATGTAACCTCACGTAGTGGTGATTACCTTGGGATTGTACATTAAATAAAGCAATGAAGAGTACCTTGAGGTGAGCGAAGAGAGAAGACCCCAAGACCCGAATTCAAAAAGGCACACGAAGATGATTGAGAAGGCTTATAAACAGTAGTGGCAGAGGAAAAGAGGTTTATAAGAGGTGAAGCACAGTATGATGGGTCGCAGAGCTTCGAAGTGAAGCACTTGAGAACAAAAACCTACCAAACGGACTTTTAACCGCAGCTAAAGCGGGGTAGAGGGGTTAGCTCATGCCAGTAGAACTGACAGAACACAGTTCAAGAGCATACTTCACACCAGGCTGAAGATCTCCGATGACAGCGGTACAATAATTAGGTCCTTGCATTTTGTTAGGGCAGCCAAAGTCCTTCTTCCCTCCGCCCTTCATGTCAACCACGTACCCAACCACTGCGCCTTCTCTGAGAGCAGGAACATTCCAAGAGACTTCCACGCTTCTTCTATCATGAATACCCTTGGCGGAGTTAAGTTCTCAAATTTCAATCGGCCCTCTCGATGGTGTGTGTGGTGTGGATATGACAGAGCTCAGATATTGCACACGAACTTCTCGACGCGGCTACTGAAATGAATATAAGACAAAAAGAGTATTACCATCAGCCTCTAGTCTTTCAATAGACCTCTCGGTAGAGATGAAGATGCCGAGATGAGACAAAGAAGTTGTCAAAACTCCGAATTTAGGCTTTATCGAGTTATAATCCCTTGGGATTGGACAGAGGACAAGTGCGGATGTTGGCCACAATGAATGTGGCCTCACGGAAATGGTAATTATCTCGGGATAGAAGGATGGTGTTGCCTTAAAAGTACTTCGATGTGGGCAAGGGAGAAAGACCCGACTACGAAAAACAGCGCGAGGTTGGTTGAAGAGGGCTTAAGTGGAAGTGGTAGAGGAAAAGAGGCTCACAAGAGACGAGGCAAAGTATGATTAATCGTAGGGCTATAAGAATTCAAAATGGTGATTTAAAAACCCCGTAATCTAACTATGATTTATTATAAACACACACACGCAAGCGGTTTTTAATGAGCTTGAGGCGACTCGAGTGTCTTTAGGGCAAAAAGGATCTCTTCTCACAAGTCATGAATCGGATTGTCTGACAACACCAGATGACTGTGCAGTCAAATAGGTAAGACAAGGGTCAGTAATGATGCCCATTATTTTGGCGTCTGAAGTGTGTTTTAAAATTACTTCATCACATCAAGTTCAAGAGCTTGGACGTGTTGTCATGGCAGAGCAACAGCTCAAGATAATGAAAAATGTATGAACAAGGTCTGCAATCTTGGGTGTAAAAAAAGAAAATAATGAAGAAAACAAGGAATTGTCATAACGCTTGAATAGCCTCCGGATAAACCTTCCCTGTTTTTGCATCAATGTATATGCTGCCAAATGGAGTGAAGAGATGGCTATTCAACTCCATAAGATGTAGTTGTAAAAGAATGACATTTTTGCATTGAGGGTGTGCATGAGGATGTGCCAGCCCCCCTCCCCCTCCCCTCAGAAAGCCGAGACGATTCGACCTCTAAGTGTCATGGCGACCTGACCACTCGAGAAGTGACTTCGCTGCTACGAGAGATTAGTGAATCGCACTTTGTGGGACTGTTTGATGAGAAAAAAAGGCAGACTTCCCGGTGGAGATCAGCGTCTGCCATGATTTTCATGTAAATCATGAAACCTCTCAAAATCTAGTCAACATGCGTCGTTTTTCGACCAAATAACACTTCCACCTCCTTGGTGCATGGATGATTAATTCAGACTGCTTATCAAAGCCAAGCCAAACTATATCCCCTTGAGATATTTAATCCAAATCCTTGAAAAGGAGTACCGTCAACTGATTCATAATGGGAAGAATTATGATCCCTTTAAGGTTGGCGGAGAAGATGAAGTACAAACTCCGTAAAAAAACGTTTTAGATCTTCAGAAACAAAAACGAGTATAGACCTCTTCCTAAGAACGAAAGCACACTGGCAACTTCACCAGCCGGATGTCAGTTAATCAAAGTCCGGGAAACTGAGGCAGTCTTTTGTGTGTGAAAAAGTCAAAATTTTCGCTATCAGCGTTATATATACATATATGTGCCGTTACACCTTTCATACCCGGGTCTGGAGTGACAAGTGGATGCCACGTATCTCTTATCGGTTCATGATAACTAGTTGCACCGAATTGCGTTAAAGCGACTTGAAACAGCAAGATGGACGTGGACTACCCTTGGAAGGGAGAAATACCACGTTTGTTTAGCTCAGCTTTTGAGTAAGGGGAGGGGGTGAAATGATTAGAAAACGCAAAACTTGGAGTTATATAAGAATGGTAAAGCCCTGTAAGATGCGGTGGTCGGCTGTTCTCCAAAAATCTAGTAGGAGCGTGTAGACCCGCATAATTAATAGACGTGGATACTGTTGCTATTATCCTTCTAGGCTAGTAATGGGGGCGACCCATTCCCAGGAGTTACACCCATGGGTAAATTTAGCATCATTTTTAACCTTTCCATGACTCGGACTATTTTTCGCGCATTTTTGTGGTTGCGGGTCACAAATATGGATAGATATACGAAGGTGACAGAAAGGATTGCATTTATGCTGCTTAAATAAGACGTTTTCATTGATGAAACAGAATGGCACGTCACTGAGTAAACCCACTAAGCTCTCCTTTCCCTTGGATCAGGCTTCACATTGGGGACAAAAGGGTCTTCTCATGCCTCACCCATACTACTAACTGCTTTGTAAGCGACGGAGCAAATTTTCAGGGGTGATAGGAGCACTATATCAAAATGCGAAATCATGAGCTTTCCAAACCTCTCTGCTATATTTGAAGAGCTAAATCCGGAGGATAATGGGAAATTGTCCCTCAAAAAAAACAACCACATGGAATATTCATTCTAACAGAGAGGATTCATTGTATCGGAAAAAACTCGAGAACAATCGGGTCCTGCATTTTACTGAACCGTTTTAAGAGCAGTTGATTGCGAACCTCATGGATTTACTTACATATAAATTTACGTGAAGTGATAGTATTTATTTACCGCTCTTCCGCCCACCACACCAAGGCGGCGGCAAGGCGCAAAGTTAGATGAAAAGAAAAAAAAAGGGAAGAGAAATGGAGATGGAGACCAGCTCTCGATCAATTTATGCACGCAAACTAGTTGTTGAGAGGAAATTCCGGTTAAACCACCTATGAAGAACGTTTGGGCCAAATCAGGACTTTTGGGCATATACCTGGAGAGATTCGATATTTAAATATCTGTTACTAAGACCAAATCGTAACTGGGCAACCAACTTCAATTCGTCAACCGTGCTGACATTTCAATCTCCGCGATATTCCTCTAGGAATCCATTATTCATCACGCGTTATGATGCAACCTGCACTCCTCGTTTGAGAGTTCATGTTTCATCACACTCCTTAAATTTACTGCAACACCCAACAAATCTGTGATGGTCAGCAGTGTAAAGTTATCTCGGTATCGAGCAAGCGTGGATTTTTTTTTAAATTTCAACTGTTCCCGATTAATTGTGTCTACTTTTCCCCACACAAAGACACATCTTTTGCATTTTCAACACACGTTGTGCGTACTTCACACATTCAGGATTGGGCGTTCCAAGTGATGGCTGAGCCTTCGCAGAGGTGACCGCTTAGGCTGTGGGGTGGTGACAAAACCATCACGACCGAAATAGTCCCCGATGTGCCCCTATCTGTCAGTGAAACAATGATATCAGCTGCTGAACCCCCCAACACCGCACCGCAGTGTGTGTGAAATCTGTGCGAGTAGATATGGATGGGTTTTTTATGAAGGGCTTTGTTTATCACCACACTTTGTTGGGCTGCTTGATAATATCGTCGCCACAGTAACTGTGGCATAAAAAGGTTCTGGTTTGATCTAAACTTGCCCGAACTGATAAACCGTCAATCTCAGACCTTGGTAATTCAGCTCCGCTGCTTTGACGTCACCAGGCTTCGCTCGGGCACTTCAGCGTGGGTAGTGCAGTGAAAAGTGGCAGCATCGTTTGCTCCCAAGGCATGATACGACCACTTTCACTAAGGTTTTAAAGAAGGCTTGCGTCTAAACTATTAGTCTGGATATTAATGGAAACTGAGCTCTATTTTAAACGACCAAAAACCAGAAGAAAAAAACCACAAAAAAATTCTAAGCACATCTCAGTCCTCAGAAATGGATAGAGACAAGGGTAAACGACTGGGTAGCGTCCAAATGGAAAACCTAGGAAACCAATTCATTGGTCCAAGTAATCACCCTTACGATCAGTCACCTTTCCACAAATAGACAACCAATCTGACAACTGGAGGGCGATACTAATCAACCAAATAGAGCAATCACGACGCACAATTCATCAGCCGAGGTGGAAGCAACCTAACTCACCACAATTGTAGGCAGTGATAAACATCTGGACGATGCTCAAGACGCCACCAATAAAGTCGAGGATGAAGTTGCCTAGGCTCCACCCGACACAGCTTCGACGACGGCAATTGAGAATCAGCTGCAGGTGAATGGAACGAAAAAAAGAAAGAAAAAATGCAGTTGATACATGATCGTCGTGAAATTGGCATGATTGTAGAGCCTAGCACTTTTGGTGCCAACATCACATAGGTGTGATAGCCATATTTTCTCACCTGGGTCGGGCTTCAAAAATTTGACGATTTCAACAAATCGAGAATTGTAAACTGAGTAGTTATGGGAATAAAGACGAGAGGAGTTCAGGATACTCCTATTCCAAGTTCGCTAATCAGCATCACGTACATGCAATGCCCCGATTTTCCACTTCACGTAAAAAATATGGTGGGTATTCCTTCTCAGCTTATGATAGTGCTAATTACATCAAATAGTGTCACAAACAGAATATTTTGAGGATAAATATTTCAGTTTTAAGTTTCTGCGTAGCAGCAGTCGAACTGAACAGTTTGGCAGTACGAGAATTGGTGCCATGTTGGAACAGCAGACCATCCACGTGGGATATAGTGTTTGATTTGTGTCTTAGAACCTCAGTGGCGTAAAAAATCAAATAACGAGTAGTGACGGCTGAAAAAACGGTGATCCCGGTAAACGGTGGTATTTTGGGGCTATGTTGGTTCCAATAGCAGTGCCGAATTGGAATAACTCAATACTATGAAATTTGTGAGACATATAAACAATCTTGTTCAAGGCAACTCTAGCCATACGAAGGCGATCAAGAATAAAGGAAATGAATATTCCTTACAGCAAGGTAAAAAGAGCTTCAAGTGGAGCCTAGGAACTGTGAATTGAACTGAGCCTGAGTTTTACAGGCTGGAACAGACATTCCCGAATCGTCTTTCAGCTACCATCTAGTGAAATTTGGCGGATAGTCACAGGAAGACGACGTCTTGCCAGCTTGTTCGAATGTCGATGGAGAAGTGAACATGTCAAATTTTGCTGCTGCTGCGGTTGAGTCACGCACGAGTATCTTAGGGTGGTAGTATTTATTCCTATTTTCAGTTCCACATCCCAACATTGTTTTTCACCAGGACGATCGAATGGATTTCGTATTGGGACCTGGAGAGCACAGTGTTTTGATGCATGCATGTTGGTTAGAAATGCTTAGTCTAGTGAGTCAAGAGACGTGGACCTAGCTCGTACCTCTATCCAGCTGGGAATTCTGAACCACCACGATGGTTACCTGGGCTCACCTGTGATACTGAATACTAGGCTTCTTTTTGATATTCAGTGTCTTAACTTTGTTCAATGTCCTGGTGCAATTCCATTCTAGTCTAGTAGCAGTAACTTCGTCAGTATTTTGACCTTACTTGAATATATCGTTTCCTCGTCAAAATAAGCTTTCGAAGGCAGCGTCAACTTTTCAGCTGTACTGTGCAAGGTTGTTTGTTGAAAGGTATAGTGTCAAGGTGTTTGCTTGGGACTCGTGCCCCCTCGCTGCCCGCCGAATTCGGACCGAGGCGTGAGCATCTATCGCAATGAGCAAATGGGGACCAAAGATTCAAGGCCAGTCGTTCGCGTGACCAACTATTTGAGTGCTTCTTTGAAAGTGGTATTACCAACACTTGACCACGCATTCAAGATGCTTGGTTGGAATGGGAGGGTTGATGCACTAACTACAGCAGACAGCTAATAAACCGTTGCCCGTTTGTCCCCGTTTCGCCAGGACTTCCGCGATCACATACCTGCTGGGTTGTCACTTATCCTGCCTTTTTCAAGTAAAAGTACACTACTAAGAATGGCTTTTTGAGGCACTAGATTGCTAGAGGATATGTTTGTGATTATTTCAGCGATTTCAAGACTTTCTGCAATGCTAGGTCCACCGCTGAAATTTGCACTTCAAATGGCACGCGTTGTTGATTAGATGGCTATGCTTCGGCAAAAGAACTGCGTTGAAGAAGGCAAACAGAACTGGTGGTAATGCCAAACTGAGGGGAGCTGTTAATAGTGCTCGCTGGAGTAGCCCTGACAACTGGATGTTGAGGAGTGGCAAGATCTGCCACAGAGCGCATGGACTGCGGCGTATTTCTATTATCTGTCCATCCAATTTGTAAATCCGCGTGGCATTAATGTCACAATGGCATAATCATTTGGAAAAAGTAATTGTCATGAGGAATCCTCTTCTATAATCCAAACTTTCATTGAAGTGACCGAGTCCTGCCGCTTGAAATAGGTAAAAAAGCCACAACCTAGGTCAACAAAGAAATCGGTGCTTCGTTTTCGTAGGTGACCCCACTCTTACTCGTCGGCAAACATGTCATTATATAGCACATGGCCTGACTACTGCAGAATTCACTTCTAAACGTTTGGATTGATGAACAATTTGAACATTCAGTTTTGCAATGACAGCATCACCACCACGATGATGATCATGGTGGTAGCGGGCCCGTTGGAGATACCTCAAAACAGCTACCTACGCAAATCACGGAGAGGCTAGGGCAAACATGGCCGAGGTTTTAACCTTCAAGAACATAGTGCTAAATACAACTGGAGGTTGTAGGGTGTAACGCTTTGCCTTTCTGCCCTATAGAAAGCTGCTTTGCCCTCATGTGCGGAGGGAAAAGGCCCTTGCTAGCATTTCGAAGACGCAGGAACTTTTAAAAGACAATATATCCCTTCGGCTGGGTATAAGCCAGTTTAAAATGCACGATATTTGATGACTTGATCCGAAGAAAATGCGCCGTATTACAGTACGCCCTTTCAAACTGGCTTGTCATTGGTCAATTGTGGATTAATAGAGAGTTGTTTAGGACACAATGATCTTTTTCATACCGACTTTTAAATGATATTCTAAGAACTAACTTACAAAGACGACGGTTAGAAAGACAGTGATAATAAATAAAGACGCTTTCTGAGTTACTTGAAATAATGAATTCTAGGTGGGAATTTTAACAGTCCCTAGGACGTGTAGATTGAAACAAAACAGGGATTATTAGGACCAAGTGATTAAGGGCCATTTGAAAAGTGAAGAAGGTGTTTCAAAACTGGCATATGAGCGCGGCCAATCGCGTCAGTATGATCTATTGTTCGAATTAAAAGAACATTATAAACAGAAAAAAAACTGGGTGAAATGATTCAGAGTTCTAATGTGAACAGACCGCAAAATCATAGCCTCCACTATTTAAGAAGCATTCGTCTCATTCAAACCCAAAACGCGAATTACCGATTGATGTCTTGGAATTAAAAACACAAACCGATTTGACAAACCATAATTTTTGGGGAAATTGAAAAGGAAGAGGGAAAATGGTTATGTTTGGAAGCGACTTATGAAGTATTTTGTCGAGGGAAAGCAAGAATTGGCAGATTACATCAGCATACTCTACAAACCCTGATTCCCTTAAAGATCCGCATTCCATTACTTGCAAAAAAGGGGGCCAGGGAAGCCCAGGATAATTGAATGGAATGGGAAATCCTTCTATGCCAAAACGGTTGCACGACCGTCAATGATCAGGATGAGATAGGTAAGATTTATGCTTTCGATTTTTACCACATTTTATGAGAACCGAAATCCCAGGTTGACGTGAACATTACCGTGTCCTACTCCAAAACGGAAGCAGAGGGTATTCACGAGATATGCATAACAAACGAAAACAAATCTCACCTGCGGAAAGTACTTGACCAACGTGACAAAGAGCTTAACGTAGGAGTAGAGGTAGAGAGCGGTGAGCCAATTGACGACATCGGCAGCTGCCAGGAGGGTGGATGTGAGGACGAAGAGGAGCATCAGGCAGGAGATTGTGATACAGGTTTTTGAGACACGCTGGGATCCTCTCTGGACAAAAGGAGGAAGTGTGCACCTCATGTAGACCGGGATCTTTAATTAAACCTGGCAGCATGGCCACGCTGCAGACCAGACCTCTCGTAGGGGAAATAATCTGACTAATTGCAGCCTGGTTTACCCTATTGCACTTCTAGAATTATCTCAGGGGCTACATCTTTGGCAGCAGTAAACGAGCAAAGGAAACAGAACACAAAACCCGGTTTCATTGATAGAGTGCTACATCAAAGCGCTACGGAAGGAAGGCATCTGTTGTGGCTGTTTATATATACGTAGACTCAGCAGGTTCACATTCATAGTATCGCCTTCGTTCTTGGACTCCGAGTAAGTTCAACTCATTCGGAGGAGGGAACGGCAGGTAACTGAAGCAGGAGAGAATAAATATAGAGCACCGAGTACGATCCCCAAAAACAGGGCGAGAGCTATGTAGCAGACTGACGTTTGCACTATCCTACATTATGACGTATTCAGGGATATCTTCAAATTTCGCTCCCAGCAGTTCAGACCTCGCATCCTAAGTAATTCAATATCGGTGGAGTAAAAAACACTGATTTCGTCCACAAGAGTGTCGGCTCAGGTCTCCCATGTAAGAGACAAACCTTCACTGTTGAGTCGTCTGCCGAAACGAAGCTACACAAACCGCAAACATAACACATTCACAAACAAACTTCAGCATCAAGCAACACCCTGGTCGTTTATGTCTGAGGGGATCTGTCACGGGGTAGTGAGTTCATGAAAAGACAGAGGGAGCAATAATTGAAGTTAACTTTGCTTACCCATTACCTCAAAAACTGCCCAAATTTATTAAAAATAAAAAGACGGAAATGAGAACTACCAGAGCAGATTTCCGGTCACAAAATGCCCACAGGCTCTCACCTCGAAAAACAGGCACTGAACAATCAGCACCAGCATCATGGCCAGCCCATGAAGACTGAAGAAGAGATCGTTTATTGCAACTGGAATGACACTGAGAGGATGACGTGCAAAGTATTGCGCCTAAAGGATAAAGGAAGAAGCAATACCTACTTAATCATTTGAATAGGAAAGAAGCATAAAGCAGGGAAAAAGATCGCCTCACTTAGAGATGGCGTTGGCTAAAGCCTTAAAGAGGTGGCAAATGACTGCCTTACCTGAATTCGAGGAACAAAATAAAGTCCAATGTTGAAGGCACTGTAGCACGCAAAACCGATGACATTGAAGACGATGAAATCAAAGCTTAAGCCCGTTACACTAAAAAGCAAGATAAAAGACCTCTTAAGTGTACGAGCACCTTTATTTACGTCTTATTTTCAAATGGGAAGATGTAACATCCTGCGAAAGGTGATGCATCTAGAACTTCAAACGGATCCTAAACTAACTCGGGGATTGCCATTAACAACTCATGAATGAAAATTAATTCCTTTTATTTGATTAATTTTAACCAGTACATAGAGATCTGCGAGAAATTGCACCCTTTCTTCCTATTTCTAGTTCAATCGTTTCCGTTATTCGAGTAAATGCAACAACTTCCCGCTCCACAAAACTGAAATAAATAAAAATCACTGAACCGGTTGATTGCAAAGCTTAGTAACCGGAATGTGATAAAAGTGCCTCCTTCCTTTGTTAGAAATAAATGAGATTGAGCATTTAGCGTTTACCGATTTGTTGGAAATAAAATTCCAAACTTTACTAAGGAAATGGAGGAGAGTTTCATAAGTCTGCCAGCATGATTACTAAAATATGTCTCCTTAATCCTCTTACCTGGCCGAGGCAGCACAATTGGTGTGGCTTTTACTAACTTATGGTAACCAATAGCACCAGATTCTGTCGTCAGCAGGTTGAACGAGCTCAAAACAATAAGATGGATGCAGGGTGTTCTTATCTTTGGAATAATAATCTTACTTCATCCCTGAAACAGCATACGAATTAGCCAGTACCAGATATGGAGCGCGGTAAACTTTGACATTCAAAGGGCCATCACATACTACAGTTTGGACGAAAAGTCGATTCTATTTGGCACGGGATTGTAACGCTTAAGAAGGAAACAAATGACTCGGTCACGGCTATGATAAGCGTTAAAAACCTTAAACACTACCTTATGGTGAGATCTCGTCTTCTTTTCCAATTCATGTTGCTCAGTGCATCCAAAATAAATTGTTAGGAACAAACTGTAACAACACAAGTAGGAATACTCTTCTAAAACACTGCAATGCCCGTTAACAAGGGGAGCACGGAATTATGCATTTGCTTTGGCGTTTCAAGAGCAGTTATTACTATAAATAGCAGGACTTAGTTAGTATTTAAATTCCACGGAAGCAATAAACTTCATGTGAATTCCAGCACCTTTAGTGAGGCTGAAAGTGCTAAACTCGTGATCAAAACTGTCCTTTAGTGTCAAGTTTGCGCACTTCATGAACATGTGCATAACACTCAAAAAGACACAGACAGACACAACAAATCACGTACAGCTTAGATAGATTATAGCTGCCTGGAAGGCGTTTAACAGCTCGAGACACAAGTTGTATGTAATTTTTAACAAAATTCACCACGTAGCTGCGGTTACTTCACCGCAACTGCGCAAACGCCTTGAGATTTGACGCCAGAACGTGACAATTAATGGCTAAGCGGTCATTCCCGGAAAAATACCGAAAGTATTTAGTTATTCCAGCGGAAGATCGCTACAGTTAATAACAAGACGATATGCAGTGCTATCAGACTCTAAATTAACCAGTAAGAAAACATTGCCTATCCTAAGGAGAGATTCAAATCTAGTGTGAGCGTGAGAACTTACCTTTTCCGCTGGCAGTTTAGAATAACTTGGGGGTAAAATGACAAAGTCCAGGCAAGAAAATAAGCCCAGCCAACAATCTGCTGAAGTATTGACAGCGACTTCTGACGACAAACATTTATGCGTGCATGCAGATACTCAAGACTGTAATAAAAAATGTAAATCAAACAGTGGAATGTATAGAAATCCGGCTCGGCTGTAAGATAGACGCATACTGCGTGATGTTGATGTCCGTGGAAGCAAGACCGAGCTCAACTGTACCCGGCTTGCTGGTAAAAATGGACATTTGATAGGACTTGTTTGAGCCGCTTTCGACTGTGAAGGAACCCAGTGGTTTAATGGGCAGCTTGTCAGTGGCGTTAAAGTGGGCGCCCGCACTGTTCCGGTAGGTAAACGTGAATATAGAGCGATTCGGCAAGGGCTCCCTGAAAGAGGAAGAAAGGCCGCACATCGTTAATAGTAACCGAGGAGCTTAGATAATAATTTGCCTGCGTAGTAAACTAAAGCTGGGCAAATAATGCTAACCAAGAAAAGTGCCACTCGCAAAGCTCAGATAGCAAACTGCCAACGAACCTAAATTCTACAGAAAAACGTTTAACCTCCCCCAGAACCATATCAATTGAAGGTGGATTGAAACCAATGTTGGAGCCAGCATAAGGATAGCTCGTAGGCGAAAAGCTGGCCATTTTCGAAAGAAGTAAAAAGATTCCAATTAGAGCCCGAAACCTAAGCGCTTTCATTCAATTGGTGAAATAAGTAATGCCCTAAGGCACTTTAACACCGTCCAGGCTAAAATTGGTATTAAGCGAGGTTGACGGAGTCAATATTACCTCTTCCCTAGAATGCGTGACTGAACTATACGAGCAAAGACATTTTTGAGAATATACAAAAATAACTACAAACGGGCAAAAACATAAACAAAATAAAAGGAAAACT